GATACGAGGTCGGTTAAATGACACCAAATGTGGAGTTTGTCAAAGCCAACTATAATGTGAAAAAATATTTTGATAAAATCTATTCGTTTTTGTTTTATACGCAAAAAACAGATTTTGATCATTTGCATGTCTCCTCCGTAACTTCCTTATTTATGAAAATATTCAAATAGGAATTTCACATTCTCATGGCAGTTTTTCAAAGTGATTTCGTAAAAAATATGAAATTTATACCAACTCTTATAGAATTTGAGATATCAGCACCAACTTTAGTTTTTTAAATGTAGGTCATACATCACTACTATGACTTAGTTACAAATAACTTTTTTTTTTCTCACAGATGATATGTCGCAGTAATAGTTTTGTGTTGATAACAACGGAGTTATCGTCATTTATACAAAAACAAAAAATTATTTGGAAGCCGCTATCTTGAATTTATAAATTTTAACAAAAAAAAAATGATCTCCGACCTCGATAACCCCCACTTACCAATTTTGAATGGAATCGGACCAAATCTTGTCCGCCATCTTGGAGCAGCCATTTTTTTTAATTTCAACAAAAAATCCATAATGTATTGTCACCGGATTTACGAACATTTCGGTGACAATACATTATGGAATTTTCGTTGAAATTAAAAAAAATGTCTGCTCCAAGATGGCGGACAGGATTTGGTCCGATTCCATTCAAAATTGGTAAGTGGGGGTTATCGAGGTCGGAGATCATTTTTTTTTGTTAAAATTTATAAATTCAAGATAGCGGCTTCCAAATAATTTTTTGTTTTTGTATAAATGACGATAACTCCGTTGTTATCAACACAAAACTATTACTGCGACACATCATCTGTAAGAGGAAGAAGAGTTATTTGTAACTAAGTCATAGTGAGCTATCACCTTCATTTGAAAAACTAAAGTTGGTGCTGATATCTCAAATTCTAGAAGAGTTGGTATAAATTTCATATTTTTTTTTTAAATCACTTTGAAAAACTGCCATGAGAATGTGAAATTCCTATTTGAATATTTTCATAAATAAAGAAGTTACGGAGGAGACATGAAAATGATCAAAATCTGTTTTTTTGCGTATAAAACAAAAAAGGATAGATTTTATCAAAATATTTTTTCATATTATAGTTGGCCTTGACAAACTCCACATTTGGTGTCATTTAACCGACCTCGTATCTCTCACCGTTAAAAAGATACCCATGGTGAGCATGGTAAGTGGGACACACTGTATATCCGAGATATAAGGGTGTTTTATCAATTTTGCCCAATTCTTTGTGAGGACATAACTTTCGAACCACTTAGTATATTCTTTTACAATTTGGTACACAATTCATTCTTTTTCTACCAAAGCGACTCACCTATCAGTCACGAAAAAAATCCAGGTCCGGATTAACAAAAATTGATAATATCTATGGAGACCAAAAAGAACACCCTGTATTTTCGAATTCTCAAAATCCGCTTACATATTTGGAAAGTGCACAAAGAGCTGAACTGAATGGTATACTTGTCATTTTCCCGCATGCAATTTCACTAAGGAATTTCTGATTTTGAATTCGAGGTTTTATGCATTTGGATAGGTGAAAATAATATGTTTTGAGTTTCCCAATCGAATAACAACAATTATCACGAACCACCCAGTATATTCTTTTGGACTTTGTTACACGAGTTCTCCTTATTCTACCCAAGCGCCTCACCTATCATCCACGAGAAAAATCCAGGTCCGGATTAACGATAATTGATTATATTTCTGGGCCCCAAAAAGAACACCCTGTATTTGCAAATTTCCATAATATGCATACATATTTGAAAACTGCACAAAAAGCTGAATCGGATTGTCTACTTTCTGTTTTCATACGAATGCTATTTCACTACTGAATTTTTGATTTTGAATTTGAGGTATGGATAGGTAGAAATCGAGGTAAGATGGAAAGTTTTGAGTTTTCAGAATAAGAAATTAATTAGTGAAAGAGCATGCCAGATATTGAAAAGTACACAATTCGAATCATCTCTTTGTGAACTTTCCCAAATATGGAATCGGATTTTGGAAATTCGAAAATACTGGGTGTTCTTTTTCGGGCCCAGAAGATCATAATTTTTCGTTAATCCGGACCAGGATTTTCATCGTGACTGATAGGTGAGTCGCTGGGGTAGAAGAAGGAGGACTTGTGTACCAAATTCCAAAAGAATATACTGGGTGATTCGTGATAGTTTTTGTTATTCGATCGGGAAAACTCAAAACATTTCATTTTTACCTATCCAAATGCATGAGACCTCATATTCAAAATCAGAATTTACCTAGTGAAATAGCATGCGGAAAAATGGAAAGTACATCATATGATTCAGATTTTCATGCACTTTCCAAATATGTGAGCGGATTTTGAAAATTCAAAAATACAGGGTGATATTTTCGAGGTCCAGATATATGATCGATTTTCGTTGATCCGGTCCTGGATTTTTCTCATGGCTGATAGGTGAGTCGCTTTGGTAGAAGAAGGCGAAATTGTGTACCAAATTCCAAATGAATATACTGGGTGGTTTGTATGTTATGTCCTCACAAAGAATTTAACAAAATTGATAAAACACCCTATATCTCGGATATAACACTTGCGAGACCCTACAAATATGGTATATTCAGAACCACCTTGATGAGCTCTACCCACTGCTGAAGTTTTTCCGTTTCCCAATGGGACACCCTGTATAGGGCCTTTTTTCCTATTGAAATAGATCATCCAAAAGTTTTTATTATCACAATCATGTATTTTATTTTATAATTATTTTTGTCATTATTATTATTGGGTTGACAATTTATTTATCTTTCACAATTTACACGTTTGACTGAATAGTCTCAAGTAATACTTATTTTTTGCAAAGGCAATTCAATTTTTTGCAGTGGTATTAGTAATAACTTATAGGATAGGTGAACAAATTATTTTTTGCTGGGTATTTCCTTTTTTTGTCATAACAGTATAAGGAATTTCAAGATTAAAAACAGATTTTTTTCAGAAATGCGGGGGTCAATATGACCCAGATATTTTCAAGATATTCAAATTGTTGATCTTAACAAGTTCTACTGAAATGTTATGATATAATCCAGATCATTTCATCAGTTCAATTGCTGACCAGTTTACTACAATGATATTGAAGCATTCAATAAAAAAATAGAGTAGTTTGAATCAAGAATAATGTTGATTGATTTTTGAGATTTTTGGCAGCATACTTAAATTGGCCTAAGGGTTTTAGTATATTAGTTTTACGTAACGTAGGACAGATTTTGAGAACATATTCTGCAAAATATATCAACATGTATTGAATACCAGGTCTTGATGTATTTTTAAAATGTAACCAATTATGGAATTCTTCTGGTCCGATTTTTGGAATGGTGCAATATATGTGAAAAAAGAAAGTGTAGAGTTCTTCATAGAGACTGTGATAAAAGTTATTCAACACAAGATCTGGTTGGAAATACAACTAATTAGTGAGTAGAATTGATGGAAAATTATGTCTTTCAAATTTGTCCTATGTGATGATTTGGAAAAATAGTTCTGTATAATCATTGAAGAAAGCTAATATAATCAGTTTGATTCCATCCCAATTTTTCATTATTATTTTTAATCAAGTTATTGACATCTTAAATTCAATGTTGTACCAATTCAGAAAGTCAGTTCAGCATTAATCATTGATAGATATTCCTTGACAAGATATTAGATCTGAAATTTTATCAAATGTATCATGTATTTTCATTGAATTATAAGATGCCTCTCTTGGTCCTTGTCCATGGAAACGATTAAAATATCTAGGTACCTATAGGTTTAGGTTATTTAGAGTTAACATCATCGCTAAATTTATATGCTACATACAAATGTATGTATTATATCATGTCATGTTCCTTTTTTTCATCATCAAATATATATATATATTTATTAAAATGAATTTTATCATCTCTTATGTGATTTATTAGAAGATTCACAGCCTTATTAGCCTATTCCTGGTTTCAGAAAATTTCCATATAAACACTATAACTATAGCTAATATCTCGAAAAATTACTAGTCCCATCGGTCTGTTTATGGTCTCAATCGATTCAGCGTGAGGTTTTCTACTGGAAAACCGTCATGTCGCGTGGAATTCCGCATATTTCTAGGATTTTCCAGCATCTGAATTAAGATGGGGATGTTTTTACATATAAGATAGTCTCAGACATGGAAATGAAAATTTTTGTTAGCCCCTCTGAAAATCTGAAGAAGTTCACAAAGGCTAAATGAACTTGGTAAAGAAAGAATCTGTCGAGAAAATTTGGAAATTTCTGAAAATAAAAGAGTAGTGGTACTTCGGAGTGCTTCGTTCGGCAATAAACGCACAAAAGTGACTTTCATCGCTAATATCTCGAAAACTATTAGTCCCAGCAGTCTGTTTATCGAGTCAGCGTGAAGTTTTCTACTGGAAAACCGCGTTATGTCGCGTGAAAATCCGAATTATTCTGGGATTTTCTCATGGAAACATTGGGCTGTATTTTTCCTTAATCACTCAAAAATTCTGACAAAATTCACAAAGGCTGAATGAACTCCGTAAAGGAAGAATCTGTGGAGAAAGTTTGGAAATTTTCGAAAATAGAAGAGTAGTAGTGCTGCGAGATGCTCCATCTGGCAATACACGCGAATAGGTGGTAACATTTCCCCGAAATATTCAAGAAATATCATCTTCGAAAGCCTCCTTTCACGGGACCGTAGCTCCCTTAGGAGACATTTCTCGACCCATGTTCATTGAAACTCTTCCTATTTTTGGTCGTTGAGGCCGCTGATGAAGTTTGGTAGGCTAATTTCGGGGCACCCTGTATAATATGATTTCTATAGAGACTAATAACAAATAATCATCAATTCTACCAACCTTGAGAAGCTAGGCTAGGAGTCTAGCATCAGCATCACCTACCGATGAAACGAGAATCTATTTCCTCATTGTTGCCAACATACTGAATGTTCCTCATTCTTTCGCGCAAAAATATACGAACAGTTGGCAAGACGAAAAAGACAACATAGTCGCCATTGGCCAATCCCCATTGTATTTTATCATATCAATAGGTTTATGTCGATTTTATTATGGTTGTTTTTGAAGCAGATTATTAATGGAATTATTCCATTCATGAAAACGTCACCTATTTTCTTCTTAATACAATGAAATCGAACTTTCCATCATGTTGAATTGGTGAGTGAATACCTTCGGCTGTTATATGCAGGATAGCTGATTTTTTGAATTTCGTTGTTGTTTATTTTCATAACGAATTGATTGTCAGCGGCGTTGATAATACTGACCAATAACACCAATAGTTAATGACCAAGAAAATCTTATTAATTAGATGGATTCTGCTAGATCCATTTACTTCTAGTTTTCTAACGCCTACTTATTATGAGGACACCTACTGATTGTGTGGGTTTTTTAATCAAATAATAAAGCAATATTTATGGTCACATCTATTAGCTTTTGAAAAATGTATATCTTGCAGCTCAATTAAGAGAAAAAAGCGAACGCCAGCAAGTAGTGCAATGGAAGTCTTTGATAATGTTTTGCTGAATGCTTCAGATTTTATAAAAGGTAACAAATAATACAGTTTATGATACAGGTAAATATTGACAACTTCTAAACACTGTTGTCTTGCAGGTCGTTTATATTTTGTATCTTTGAATACACATGTTGATCCAAAATCTACTCCTTCTGTACATTACTTCACTGTGGATCATGAGCTGGAGTATGAGAGTTTCTATTTGGATTTTGGACCACTGAATTTGGCCATGCTTTATCATTATTGTTTAATTTTGAGAAGAAAATTGAGTAACCCCACATTCCAGAATAAAAAGATTGTGCACTATACTTATGGTCCAGATGGACAAAGGAGGGTGAATGCTGCATTTCTTATTGGGGCTTATTCAGTGAGTACAAAGTACCTATATCTCAATGTTTAGTAGTTATCTGTATCATCAGTAACTTGATTTTGTTATCTAATTTAGTGGTACCTACCTAATTTGATGATCACTTTTTTTTAATTCATCATAGTGCTGCAGCTGCAATTTTACATAGGCAAGGATAGATAAGCAATTGATTGAATCAATCAGAAAACAAGTTTTTGTTGGTATCTTCAATCTTCATTGCATTATTCACCAGTGGATGTTTTGCTTTTATCAATAGTCACAACTCGATTAATCATGAACAAATACATTAATCATGCATTGGTATTCAGTATAATTATGATAACCTGCCTATGAATAATACTTTCCATCAAATATGAATCCATTAGTCTGGGTGGTATTAGCATTGTGATTTTTTATTGTAAGAATGTATTTGAAAAAGTATTCTGAATGTTTTTGCAGACTTGTAAATACAGACTTATGAACATCCCAATAGTCATGAAATATAATGAAATTGAATTCAAGTATAGGTAATCAATACTCTGAATATTGCTTGTTCTTTATGTTATATTCCTTTCTCATACAATTGCCTTCAAATTCCTACCTATTATTCCTATCCAATTTTTGGTTGTTGGTAAATTCTTGTTCAGCTGGATGTCGGAAGTCTGCATAATATATACATTATACATACTCATTGAAAAACTGCCAACTGTTAAAAAATACATATACCTGGTGTCAACGAATCTATTAGACAAGTCATAACTTCTAGACCATTAGGTTTATCAAAATAAGATTTGGTATAGGTAAATACTATGTGAAGAGTTTTCACATATTTTTCAATTTCCGGTCACTTCCGGTTTCACCGGAAATGGTTCCGGTTCTTAATTTTTAAATGGAACACCCTGTATATTGTAACATTTTTGGATTTCTGAGAAAATTCTAGATCAGAATAATATGACATTTTCGAAACTTTTTATGTAATTTTTCGGAGTCACTTTTGAAATTACATCTAGGTGGCCATGATTTGAAGTGAACTATTCTAAGGACCTCAGGTAATATCAGAAAATTACAATCGCGAAGTTTTAGTGACAAGTATGATAGATATGAATAAGACAAGTTGGCAAAATTTCATTTTTGTGTCTAACTATTATTTTTCAAATGGCGACCATTTTTTGACAATCACTTTCCGAAAAAAGGATATTTTGACGAATCTAACGATACTAATTTATTTACGATTGGATTATAAGAACATAAATTGATTATTACTGATAAAAATACTTCATAATAATTTATTTACTTTTGTCAAGTGTGCCATGGATCGACATGATGCATAATATTTTGCAAATATTTCGATTAATTAATTAAGTAGGCATAAAAACTATCGAAAACGTCACATTCTGATCTAGAATTGTCTCAGAAATCCAAAAATGTTACAATATACAGAGTGTTTCATTTAAAAATTTAGAACCGGAGCCATTTCCGGTGAAACCGGAAGTGACCGGAAAGTGAAAAATACGTGAAAACTTTCCTCTTCACATACCATTCACCTATACCAAATCTCATTTTGACACACCTAATGGTCTAGAAGTTATGACTTGTCTAATAGGTTCGTTGACACCTGGTATTTTACTATCAAAATTCACTTCAACTTTATTTGACAAGCAAGTATTGCTTCACTAGTGAATAACTATTTCAGAAAAACGCATAACTAATTTAGATAATCTTTTATTTCATTTCAGATAATTTATCTGAACTATGAGCCAAATCAGGTATTTGAAATATTGAATCATGATTCAGCAATAAATTACTTCGAATTCAGGGATGCTTCAATAGGAGAACCTTATACATTGGGTCTACTAGACTGTTTAAAAGCAGTCAAAAAAGCTACAACATATGGATTCTTCAATTTTGATGATTTCGATTTTCTGGAATATGAACATTATGAACGTGTTGAAAATGGAGATTTTAATTGGATACTTCCAAACAAGTTTATTGCTTTTTGTGGTCCACAAGATAGAACAAGATCTAGTATATATTTCCATATTCAAAAGCCTGAGACATATTTTGCCTATTTTCGTAGGCATAAGGTTTCAACTATTGTTCGGCTGAATAAGAAAGCTTATGATTCTAATAAGTTTGTACAGGCGGGGTTTGAACATAAAGATCTGTATTTTGTGGATGGAGGTACACCTAGTGATAGGATTCTAGACCAATTTATCACCCTCTCAGAGAATGCCAAGGGTGCAGTGGCTGTACATTGCAAAGGTAGGTAGATGACAAGTTTGAATTTGGCAACATAAATCTATATACTCCGAATTTCAGCTGGTCTTGGCAGGACTGGTTCATTAATAGCATGTTACATAATGAAGCACTACAAATTCACTGCTGAAGAGGCCATAGCTTGGATAAGGATATGCCGTCCAGGCTCCATAATAGGACACCAACAAAGTTGGCTACAAGAGTAAGTATAAAAAAAACTGAGATTGAGTTCAGTTGGGCCAAAGATATATTGAGAGTTTGAGATTATTATCTAGGTATAATAAATCCAAATACCTATTGGGGATGAAAAAATCAGTCTGATTCTGAATTTCTCCCAAAACAAACATCTAGATTTGCTCATACTAGTAAAAAAGTGTATGTATTCAAGACTACATTGAAAAATATATGCATCTGTGCTGTGAGTAGTTATATTATTCAGTTTCATGTGCATTTTAATTATATGTGATTTTATTTCTCTATTGAAATTTGATTTAAAATTTTTACCCATTTTTTTTTTAATCACCGGAAAGGAATCCCTGTTAACATATTGGGTACCTAATGGGGAGGATTTGTTTCAGAAAACAGAAGGAGATGTGGGATGCTGGAGATCTGTATAGGAAAAAACATGGCATTTCTGAAATTAAGAAACTCGAATCTGGTATTTATAGTCTTTCTGATGTGAAGAAGGAAAAGAAAAATAGTGATAATGTAACAGGCATCATGAAGAAAGTAGATTGTATGGACATTAGAGACCCTGAAGAGGGAAGTGAAGAAAATAAAATTACCCAAGGTGATAAACTGAACCAAATCAAAGCACAAAGGTCCAGAGCAAAACCTCTTGCAACAAGTCAGTAAGTATTTATGACCTAAAAATCACATATCCCACCAGCAAAATGTTATCAAATCTTACTATAACTCTAGGATGAACTCTTTTTTATTTCAGAACTGAAAGGTTGCGTAGGGTGAATACCCTTAATTCTCCAATCACTCAGACTGTGCTTAGAGGTGGTAAGATCATCTGCAGTACTCCATCTAAAATGCCAAGTTCAGCTACCAACCGAGTGACTCCAAAAAGGTTGGTGTGAACAGTCAAATAAGTTTTGAAGCTGCAGTTTTTAAGTAAGAGCATGGCTTTATGATTATTGTATTTTTATTGCATGCCATATTTTGATGTAGCTATTGTTTTCGGGTGATTTTTTAAATTAGACATAGCATTATTTGCGGTAGCCCACCTTATTTTAATCCATATTGTTAGCAAGTTTATACACATTCAATTTTGTTTTGTGAATTTTTTATATCTATGCAGTTAGAATGGTTGGCCCTATCTTCGCCATATTTGTAAGCAGAAGTTTTTTATACATCTGATACAACTAACAGTTAGTGTTGTAATTTTAATAATTGCAGTATTAAAATATATTTTTACATATTTTTTGTTTTTATTGATTGGTCAGTTGTAAGTAACTTCTGAATGCTACTTTTGAACCAAGGATTATTACCGCCTGCAGTACATTTTAGGTGTTTTCCCACACAGGCATGTTTTATTTTGTTATTTCATAGAATGAATAATTAGGTACACTTTGTTATGTTTCATTATTTTATGAATTATTGCATGTATAAAGATAATTATTCTGACTCAAAATAAAAAACAGCCAGCAATAATCTAAAGTAGGAAATTTCCATGAGCTACCAGTATTTACAAAAAAATTCTGTATGACAGTACTTGTGACCTGCCTTTCACTTCACAAAATATAATAGCTGTTCAGTAATTCATCATCATAATGGTAGATGTGTCAACAGCAATGGCAAATATAGGGCCTTCAGCGGATATATTATCCCCTATGTTTTGCTATTTGTAATTATTTATATGTATAGTATGTTGATAGAGTGGAATAAATTCGATATTTCTGCTATACCAGGGATTTTGAAATCCTTGGGACTCCTTAATAGGCCTTTCCAGTAATTTTTAGAAAAAAGATCTTGAAATATATAACTCTAGAACACCTTGACATTTTTTTCTAAATTTTTTTCCCATCAATTCATTATGTAAAAAATTATTGAAAACGCCAAATTGAACGAGCGGATTCAAACGATCAGACATGGCCGCGAAAAGTGTGACGTCAGTGCGGGAGTAATTTGGATTGGTTATACTCTCACCTTTTCTTGGGTGCCAACTAAAATGCACAATGGACTTGACAATGTTGCCAATTGGGACAGAAAGCTATGATCAGTCGGATATTCATTTCTCGATTTTTTTCATTTCAGAAAATGATACAGATGCTGTTAGATTACTCAACTAAAAATACGTACCTGAAAATTCGTGGTACTGAAAAATTGCATTGCATAATTAGATTGATGGTTGATTTCTGTTGGTGGATTATTAAAAATAGTAACTAAAATTTCATTTTTTATCGAAATACAGTGCAGATATGACATTCAGTTTCAAATCCCTTCCAGTAAATTTCAAGGTTAGGTACTCATCTATACATGTACCTACCAATACCTACCTACCATAGGAAAGAAAATCTGAATCAATCAATACTAAATCGTTCACTTGGTTTTATTTCAATAATATTGAGAAATCAGAAAAGTGAAGTTATGCGTGGAATTAGGTAATTTTCGAGTATTTTTAACTTGACAACATTGTGCATCACAATTTGTCCTAGCTTATCTCGAAACTAATGGAATACTTCGGGGTTCAAAGTAAATTGAATGTGATCAGCACTTAATTACCAATCAACTAATCACGTCCTACATACTAATTTCGAATCATGACATACCTTGCACCATATTGCACAAAGTATCAGTTTAATGATTTTATAGAGATCTGGCGTGCTTTCCAGCCGCCACAACTCCAACCAATCAAATTTCAAGAAGACACTGATATCACAACTCAGTAGCGTTTTAAATCATAGGTATTGAAATAGCATGTTCAATACCAAATAATAAAATGATTCATTTGTTGTTCGGTATTTTCGATGAATATTTGGTAGGAATAACGTTTTTGACTCCCCTTCATAACATTATAGCGAAAAGGGGTCAATTTGTTCGATACTGGAAAGGCCCTATGCCTTTTTTCACATTTAAAAAAAATGGTTCTTTAAAGAATTAACGTGGTCAAATTTTTTTTACAAAGTCTCCTATATCCGTAAGATCGAATTTATTCACCATACTGTGTTTGTTTCATTAGATATTGAATTTTTTTGTAGTAAAAGTTGTTATGTGACGTTTTTCTGGAGTAATGGTAATATTTTGGTGGTTATATTGAATGAAACACCTGTGGTGGTGGATATTTGCTATAAACGTGGACGAAATGAATGCATGTATGTATGTATGTGTATGAGGGTATTCTCTGATTATCTGGTAGTATAGACCTCAAACAAACCAATAATTTGTCATTGCTGAAATATAGAAACTGAAGTATCTACCTATAATATCTAGTTTTGAACAGTTCTATAAGTATCTACCTCAAACAAAATTAGTTTTTCGGATTGTTATATATTTGGAATTTGTTTCAAACGGTTCACCCTGTATATTTGAAGCAGGTGTTGAAGAATGTACGATTCAAAAAATTAGTTGACGTGTTTCGGCGTTCTTTTTCAAAAATCTTTCCCCGAATTTGAATGAATTTATCTTTTGTTGTTTTTCAAATTGACACTTGCGCGTTACAATTTCTTCGTCACTTCAGTCTCATGCTCTTCACATTTCGCATAGGCTAATAAAAATTTTTAAGGGAAAATTATCAAAGTAGAATTAAAATGTTGAATAAATACAAAACTCTAAAGAAATTTCAATAAATGCTCATAAAATGAACGGCAATGGTGGATAACGGAAAAAACAACTACTTTCCTGGCTAATGCCACGCAGAACATTGAATCACGTCCTCCCGGAATCTATGCATCGACTCGTGTAAACGAATACTGATGCAAGTGTTTCTTTCCTTCATGCCGATTGATTTCGATTAGCTTGATCGAAATCAATCGACATTAAGGAAAGAAATACTTGCACCAATATTTGTTATACGAATCGATGCATAGATTACGGGAGGATGTAATTCAATGTTCTGCGTGGCATTAGCCAGGAAAGTAGTTGTTTTTGTCCTGTTATCCACCATTGTTGTTTATTTCATCAACATTGGAAATGACTTCGAGTTTTGTATTTATTATAAAAATGAGTTTTTAGCCAATTTTCAAAAATGCACAATTTTTAAAAACATCTTGTAATTCTGAAACGAAAGTAGATATGGATATGCAGATTTCACCATTGAATTTGTCATGAGAGTTAACCATCTGGCTCCGACATCAGCTTTCTTCTATCCAGTTTGAGAATGGGACTTTCTCTTTAGAAGTGTCCAAATTGGAACATTCTGTACAAGTAGTCAAATGAAAGTTATCTAACTATATACATTTTTAGATAGGTATTCTCAAGCTAATTGCAAAGTACGACAATTGATGAAACAGTATGAGGAAGAAAAATTTTATCAGTGGAGATTTCCAAACTCTTATCTCCCTAGTTTATAGTCCATGAAAATTCTCAATTTTCTGTTGTGAATATCACCTACATCGAATATGCTGTAAAAACTTGTAATATAATTGTAGCTAGTTTGAACAACATACAGAGAGTATGACAAATTAATATTCATCATACAGGACGTAGAAAAATTCTGAATTGAGGAAACCTAATCACGAATAATCTGCGATTGAAGGTCTACAAAAATAACAAGTTTGAGCGAAAGATGGCGAAAGTATTGAAAATGAATATTCTCAGATAAATTATGAACATATAAGATTGAGAATTCGTATTCTCTATGTGATAAAAATATCAATCCTGTCTCGGTTTATTCAGAAACCATATGAGTGGGATTGAATGTCAACAATAATTCTCAGATGTCAGTATCGTTAGTTTTAGTTATATTATAGAGAGATGAAAATTGCGTATATCATGAAGAATGGCTGAAAGATGACTGGACTGGATGGTTTGAAATCCGAAATGAACTGATCTGAATAAAGTCATATAACCTGTGTGTGAGAGAGATATAATTTCCATATCACTGATACGAATGATTTTTGTTGAAGTTCCAACTAAGCTCATCAAGATCAGAGTTTATACAAGTAAACTTCTCCTATACATTTCAATTTCCATTTCAATAATTCAATACTGAACATATTGGTGAGTTATATTTTTATATCATAATACATCATATTATTTTATCCGATTTGAGAGATGATGTCAATTCTCAATTTCAGAGGATTTTTATTTTTCATGCTCTCCTTTTGGATGTTCAACAGATATAATTCAATGTTCGACGTGACAAATAGACAGGAAAGTAGTTGTTTTCTGTTGAATATTCAGAATGATGGTATATATGCATATTTTTATATGAAGGAGAATGCAAATGCTCAACTTTAGAAGAATTTGTTTCGAATTCTTATCGGGTGTACAAAAGATATATATAATTCAATGTTCGTCGTGGCATATATAGCCAGGAAAGTATAGTTGTTTTCTGTTGAATAAACCGAGAAAGAATTGATATTTTTTTCACATTGAGAATACGAATTCTCAATGTATTTCTTTATATAGGATCCTGAAATTTGTTGAAGCGAGAGATATACCAAAAATGCACTATATGACCAAGTGGGGCCATCCTCAGTGATATACACTGCTCGCCAACAGCCATGGAACCACCCCGATTTCCGGAAAATGATATCAGGAGTCAAAATAGGTTGAAAATCACTTCGGATTCGGAATCAGGACGCGCAATTCATTAACTAGTAGTTTTCCTAGCAAATTTCCAGTTCAGAAAAATTAAATTTTGTCTCACTTCTCATGGAAGCACCCCCGTATCTCACGTAATTATTGAGGTAGGGTTCTGAAATTTGCAGGAGGAAGGGAAAATCCAAAGATATAGTCAATTACGTAAGATACGGGGGAGCTTCCGTAAAAAGTGCGACAAAATTTAATTATTCAGAACTAAACTTTGTCCAGGAAAAATATGAATAGCTAGTGAATTGGGCGTCCTGATTCCGAATCTGATGTGATTTTCGACCTATTTTGATTCCTAATATCATTTTCCGGAAATTGGGGTGGTTCCATGGCTGTTGGCGAGCAGTGTATATCACTGAAGATGACCCCACTTGGTCATAGAGTGTATTTTTGGTATACCTCTCGCTCCAGCAAATTTCAGGATCTTTACCCAACGATTACGTAAGATACAGGGGTGTTTCCATTAGAAGTGGATCACACTGTATATACATTTTTTTATGTTCATAATTTAAGTGATAATATTCCTTTTGAATATACAGAGAGTAGTTTGTATGAGGTCAGAAATCTTTACTAGGCATGTTTTCCGCACTGGGCGCTTTTTGAAACCCGCTGAAATAGTTTGTCGACCATTGCTTTTTTCGACAGAATCGATCCGCAACCTTTAAAACGTGTAAGCACGAGGAGGCTCGTTTCTCCTATCACTTCACCTGCTGAGAAGTTGCAAATAGGAGAGAAGCGTCCTCTCACCAAGAAAGTCCCGTTGGGTCGTAACCTCAAAAACGGCTTGGGCTCCACTAACGGTGCTACTTTGAGGAGCACTCCCACCGAAGAGAAGAAGACCAAGAGGAGCAAGAGATCGCTTGCTTCGGACAAAGACAAGGCTAGCCCCAGGTCAGTCAAGGTATTGAGAAGGTCACATGTTCTGGCTTTGAGCTTCAAAGAGTGTGAAAAACATGAAAGTAAATTGCGCCTGCCATCAGTCAAATTGAACAAGACTCTGTAAGTGAATGGGTTTCCTTATATCTCGACTTTCAGTTCAAGCACAATTTTAAACTAGAATCTAGAGCGAGACCATCTGAGGGGTCCCTTTAGTGATAAAAATGCCCTGTGATCTCCAATAATTTCCTATTGAAGGTTGTTCCTGCAGTCTTCTGCTGATGTACCTATACTGGTTGTTTCCGAAATTCGGGTGATCAATGAAATGGACGATAGGAGACGGAAAAACAAAACAAAATGGAGGAATACATTTTTGTATGAAAATAAATATTTTGGAAGATATTGAGCTCCAAAGTTTGGCTGAAATTTCTGTAAATTATTAATCAGAGGATAATAACCCAACCCAAGCGTTTGCTTTCGGCGAGATCACATGCACCGAGTAGTATTAATGACTTTTTCAATGTTGCCAGACGTTCAATGATAGTTGAAATATATGGTGGAAGCGCACATGTTTTAAAGAATTTTCAATACAATTTTTTTCTTGTGATTTATCGTGTCATAATGTCTCAGAACATCCCATTTTTTTGATCGCCCCAATTTCGGAAATGCTGTATTTGAAAAAAAATTATGATTTTTGATGTACCTACTTCAATTTATCATTTTGAACATGGTAGAGGAAAACTTGATAAGAATTGAAAAACATCTCGAAACTACTCATGTTCAGTGACCAATTTGAAAGCAGGCAACCCTCATACCTATACGTTTTTTATCTATGGAGGGATTGTGACTAATTTAATATTGTGAGTCATCTGTGACTCAATTAATTAGGCCTACTATTATGAATATTACTGAAAAGTAATTTCATAGAATCGTTAATGTTGAATATTTTTTCAAGAAACTTAGTACAGATCTATTTCAGAGAACGCCGATTCCAGTGGCGAACGCAGATTTTTTTCTAAAAAAATCGCTAATATAGATTCTGGATTCTTCAGCCTCTAAATGTGGTCTAGTAGGCCTTGCTCTTTAAAAAAAGGGGGCACCGCTTAGCTCCAAAATACACCTTTTCACGCTCCACATTAAAAAAAAAATATTCGTCAAAATAGCTACATTAATACAAAAATTATAGGGGTGGCCCGCTTTCAAATGGGTTTCTGTTCACATGAAATTTTCATCTTGAAAATATGTGTTTTTCAAGCTGTTGAAGTCCTGCTACAAAAAACTGACTGACCCAGTATAGTATCATTGATAAAATAACCTTATATGAATATGAAAACCTTTTTACCACATTCTGGACAAAATATTTCATGAGGGTTGGTTCGTGAATCAGCCGAACAAAAAACAAAACTCAATAGCTAGCAGTCTAGCACCCTAAAAAATAAACGATTTTTCGAAACACATTAATAATAAAACCTATAGGTGCGGGTCCAGGTCCCAACATAATTTAGGTCGTTTTTCATTTTTGTGAAGGCTGAAATAAGTCATTGATATATCAGTTAGGATGGCAGTAGCTCAATAAACAATTGAACATTTTCGTTGTTTATTTCTATTTATTCAGAAAATTAAATACTCACGTGCAGTAGTTGTTGATTGGAATAGCACTGTATTAAAAGAATAAATATCATTCTCCGTCAGTGGCGAAACCCAAATGGAGGGTAAATATTGTTCACAAAAGGAACTAACACTTGCACTGGATGAAATTAACATATATCATTGATTGCAAGTAAATACTTTTCTCGCCGTCTTTTCGGCAAACTAAATATTAAATCATCCATAGCTGAGGACGATTTCTAGTTCTTCTAGATTTTCTGCCCCTACAGACATTACTGGCAAGTCTTTCAGCTGTTGCAGTTGTAACCAGAAACATGCTGTTAACTTTCCAAAAACCTGATGCAAGGCTATTTACTTTAATCAGTAATAATTCCAGTACCTTTATGGAATGAATTTTCTGAATTTCAAATTTTCAGCATGTTTTCAAAGCAATTAATTGTTCGTACAAATCAACTAACATATCTTGACTGTATTCAGCTGACAGGTTTCTGACTTCCATTTTTATTTTTTCCTTTGTAACACCTCCATTGAAAAGTATTACTCAGGTCACAGAGGCCCTGACATCTTTGTTCAGTTTGAGAAATTGATATATTATCTAAACAGCAAACAAATTGACTTTGAATCACGATTCTGATGTCTGCTGACGCGCGTCGTTGTAAATCTGAGACATTCATTGTTGCCAATTTTTGGGCCCCTGCTTAAGTCGAGCATACAGTCGGCAACATCAATGCCTGCTACGGCTCCATGCAAAATCCAGACAAGTCGGTCTAATAGTTTGAGTAAGATTGTCGATAATATTTGATTATACAGGTCGGGCCCCTGTTCTCCGTTCTCCGATTCTCCCCTCGTCCGGGCTATATCGATTCCTCAGATGGTGCTTGTCCTAGCCTAGGCAAGTTCAAATAAGTCGATGCCATATCAGCATCATAGGTAACGTAAAAGTATGATCTGAAATTATCTTTCACTTGGCTATCTTCTTGATTTATTGAAAATCGGAGGAAGGTGACTTAATGAAAACCAGATTTATATTGACCTTCAACTGATTGTGAACATTCTATTGCATACGTATTTTCAGAACCTACTAATTAGCTGCCTATACTTTCTTGCTTCAATTTTTTTTTCTTTTTTAGAAATAATCGTCGATAGGCGGTGGTCCTATTGATTTTGAGTCATTTATTTATCAGAAGTGTCCAGGTAAATATTGCAAGAATGAACTGAATTCCTAAAAGTATCTGTCCAAATACTGGTTCAGGTAAATTTTATATCTATTTGGAGAAGGCATGTTTCAAAAACAATGAAGATTTTTTTATCATTCGGGAGTTCCAGGTAACAAAAATTTTTAGACTATAAATCACCTGAATAAAATGCGTAAAATGTGAAAAACTATTGGTTCACATTTTGGTTGGATATCTGCTATTTTGTATGCTTGTTCCTTCTTATATCTGGTGAAGTTATAAATCACAATTTGAAACAACTTACATATCACCTTTACAATATGCAATGTCAAGTGATTCATTGAATAATTCACTTTATCAATGTTGTAATGGTTCAAAGATAGCTTCATTGGTAATCCTCCAGCCATTATAGTTTATGTTTTCATCAAATAATCAATTTTAGATTTCACATTTGTATTTTTGTGTCTAACTTGGTAGACTTGATTTTTACTCGAAATATTGCATTTTGGTGTAATTTTAAGCCAATTGAACATTTTTTCGAAACTATTGTCTGTTATTCACCCAGAAAAATGTCTTCATTGGTTGAATATTGAATGTTGATAATCCATAACTCCAAATACTTCCTTGAGTTCCATTTTGGCCTTCAATGAAATAAAAATGCGAGTCATTGTACTTACAGTATGCTGCAATTGACACTTTTCACCATTTATGATGGCTTGATAAAGTTTTTATTGAATTTTCAAATACCTATATGAATTGAAAAAGAAAATCGAAAATCCATTGGAAACTTGATATTTTATCCGCACTCAAAAATGATGAGAACGTTAATTGTGACTTACTGTATATAGTTGTACAAACGCTGGTAATATATAGAAATATAAATATATATTATTTTTGTATTATCACTGTATTTATTATATGCATACAAACTGTTGTTATGATGTATATAGTTTAGTTGTTAGTTTACTCATGTTCAACATTAGAGTTAGGTAAATATCTTTCCTTTAGATTTCAATCCGTTATTATGAAATCAGCCGTTATTTCACGCTCTTTTTAGATTATTGCACTACAATATCATTAGACAAAACTGTTGTTGGTGTAATGTGATATTGAAGTGACCTTTGGTTCCTCGAGTTAAGACTTTTGCAACTAACTTATTTATGTTTGTTCATCTCATTTTCATATTCAGTGAGTTCAAAAGGCAACCATAGATCAAGGGCAACTAACTCATGTATAAACATTAGTCAGTGTATTTGCATCATTAGAAATATTAGAGTTAGATGCTGTATAATATTCGGTGTTTTTTTGAAGTTGATTCTATGATGGAAATATTTCAATATCTAGAATTTGTTTTCCTTTGTTTCTATTGTGTGCAGGACTTTGCATTAGATTCATTAGAACCTTCTTACATCCAAATTGTAAGGCAAGAATGAACAGAAAGAATTTTTTTTGTGTTTTTCGTTCAAATATTGTTCATTTTTAGTACTGCTGCGTTTATTTCCTATTTTGCCATTATTGTGGCTAATGTTATATTCTGTTGGACAAAAATTTGCTAAGCACATATAAATTAAATGGGACTTCATTATATGAAGAGTGTGAAATCAAGCCAAGAATAATTTGCATCTTGTTCCAGTGAATCCATATTTTGTACTAAATATATATATATACTGATTGAATTAATAACAAATACCTTTGATTATCAATGCATCCACTCTGAAAAGTCCCTTGAATTATTAATCAAAATTGGGGAAAATTGAATAATCATCGATTAGTAAACTCTTCAAAATTGATCTTGTACTGGTTGTTGAGTTAAACATTTACTTATTAAATACAATGATTATTGTTCAGATTTTTTGAAACCAGTGATATCTTATTAAAATTCAATTCTTAATCAAAACTGATTGACATTCAAGTCTAGAGCAAGTGTTTGGAATAACTCATCCATGAAGATCATTCAGACAATGCTACGCGTGAGAAAACTTTTGTCCTTGAATATTTCAAATCTCGCCCAACTCGCGAAACATGTTCATGATTGTACATGACATAGGTACTAAACGGTTCAGATCTAGTTCCATATAGGCATTAAACATTTTTTTTTTGCATGATATTTCGTCGCTTTTTTATTTTACTTTTATGTAGTATCACTAACATTTGAAGAGCTTTTATGAAAAATGTTATGTTTCAGTGATGGCTTGAGATATTTATTATGTTTGTTATTAACTTTACATTTTTACTGAATCGGTAAGCGGCGTTGCTCTGAGCAGCTATGAAATGTGTTTGAATATGTCTGTTAAAATTCAGCATTAGTAGTGGTAGACGTATATATTATACGCTATTACAACGCCATATATTTTAATATACATTTACATTTTAGTTTTTTTGTGATGTATTTTGTTAACTATGAGTTTCAGCATTAACAAAAACATTTAATAAATGTTTTCACATGTACCCGTTTTGTTATTGTTCCGAGAATACAAGGTTTTCTTCTCAGTACACTTAGTCTTAAAACAATTCGTTAATAGTCCAATACTATCTTTTTTATTGATTTTATGTTCAATAACTCAGTTTTTGTTGAACATCCAAATTCCATATCACTCACAAGCTGGCCTACAGCTTCTGTGTATATTATGTTTATTCTGACTATCTTCACTTCCAACTTTCAATTTTATTATTGTATTTATATAATCAATCTTACCTCCATTTTATGAAATAATATTCATAACTAGATTTATATTCACACTTCTGTGACTAAACATTATTCTATTATATTCTTATTTAAAAAAAAATATAATATCTATCTGTAGACATTTTAGGACAAAATTTCCGTTTTGAAAATATGGTAGGTGAATTGAATCGAAAACGAATCTATAACTATACTTTATGAGATCTGTATGTGGTCAGCACAATGCCATCAATTTGTTGATAATTTATTCCGACTCGTTACATGGCAGTGATGTTCACCGTCCTTGAAAAATGAAAAAAAATCAAACGAATAATAATCATTCGGCGTTATAAGGGCATTCAATTCAAACAATTCCATATCCAGTTCAGTTTGTTATTCTTTTTAGTAATTTTTAATAACACAAACTATTAAAGAATAATTATTATAATCGGATAACTATATACTATACAATAATAAACGTAAAAAATACATCACAATGATATCAAGCATAATAGTGACATTCATCTTCATAGGATTGTTCATGTAAAAGACCTTCTTGATCTTCATCCATTTGCCTTTGAGGGAATGTTAGCCCATCTCCTACACTATACAAAAATTTGACTATAAGCTCACCCAAAAATTTCGAGTATAATTCTGCCTCGAACTAACCGAACTTATTCAAATTGCCTGCCTTGATATGAAATCATTTCTTCACACAATAAAATCAGTGGAAAATAGTTCCCAATTCTTTATAAACTATATTCCATTTATAACCTTGACAAACCCTCAAAACTGCCCTGCCTATCTTATTGCAATGTACAGCATATCTTATTTCAAAAAGTCCACCCCCCCCCCTCTATATCTCGGCTATTAGTCGTACTTTCCTCACCAAATTTGGTATGAATAATCATTAATAAGATCATTTTTTTCAGAGACCAACATCATTATAGACATTGCCGTGCGTTTTTATTTAAATGAAAAGGGGTAATTTTTTTTGTGAAATCATATTAGGAATTTTGTATAGGTAAACTGACCTCATAATAATGTTCTTTATGGTTTCAATGCCCCATATGTGAATTTTCATGTGATTCCTTTATAAGGTTTCAAAAAAACAGGCAGATCTTAACAGCATTTGTGAATAAGTATTTATTCGGAAACGTTTCAACTGTTCAACATAAAATAGTATATCTTTCAAAACATGATTTTCTATCTGAGCCATTAAACGTTCCAAAATTTGCAGTTCATTTGAATTCACTTTTTTTTTTCGAGCCTGAATATGAAAAAAATGAAGCAAATCCTGTGATTTTATGAAAATCGACCCCTTATTTCAACAAAAAAGCACGGTACTGTCCAAAAGATTCACACGACTCATAGCTGATATATAGGAGGGGGGGAGAGGCGTTTAAAAAGTGAGACATGCTGTAAATGACATATGTATGTATAAATTGATGTTGTGTTTGGAGACCACTTTATATAAATGATTAGGATAACAGGTACCAAAATATTACTCATATCATTTGAATGGTCATCAATAACAATTGAGTTCTGAAGATTCCACGATCTTAAACCAAAACTAATTTATTCGGAATATCTCAATTTTCAATATCCACCCTAACAACATTAATCACTAATTTGTTTCTTTGCATGTGCAATGGAACATTTTTTCCAAAATGAAGAATTTTTTTATAAACAAAATGTTTTACAATTACTTTGAGCATTTTGATCATTGCCTGTGGACATGTAAGCATAGATTCCTTCAGATGGTAAAAAAGTGATGAGCTCCAAACAAACAAAAATCGACTCGATTGAAAAATGTTCACTGAGAATAATTCAACAATAGTGGTGTAGATCTTCAAGTCATGGACCATGGTGACCAGGGTTGAGCTTATGTGTCTCACTTTGAAGATCGTATCTGCAGCTTAAAAATGTTTCAATTCAGTATCCATCAGGACAGTGTATCTTACAAGCACAACCCAACACCACAAATAAAATGTAATAGCATGAATTGATTTATCTTAAACCGTCCAGTATGATTTGTATGATGATGAAGAAGCCTTGGTTATAAATCAGAATTTTGATTACAATCAATAGATCAAATACGGAGCCATGAATATTTGGTTCCAAACTACCCTCTTTATTGCATTCCGGAGTATAAAATGATGGGAAAAGTGAAAATAATCTTGATACCTACACTAATAATAATCCGATTATTTGTTTGCACTTTCTTGAACAAAATTCAAATGGATCAAAAGCTTTTCAACTCAAGCATCTTTCAAAGCTCTCTAGGCTATTCAATCTTACAAAAATAAAACAATCACTACTGCAAATTCGACAAAAATATTTATTGCAATAAATAAAATTCACAGTGGCAACCAGTCTTTATAACAAATAACTCAAGAATCAACGAAGTTAATGTGTTAATATGTTTGCGTAACTAATAAAACAAATAAAACAATGAGTTGCGTTAGCTAGTAGCAGTTAGACAGTGTTATTTTCTAACCTGTTCTGGGTGTTGTCCATTGAATGATAAGAGCCCTGCTGGTGGCGTGAGTGTACAGGATACTCTATACCATCACCCAAACTACAAAAAGTCATAAAAATGAATGTTATTCAGGTGACTAGAAGTCGATTAGTACGAGTGGTAGAGCAAGATATCCGAAAAATACTACGCTAAAGGTATGAGTGAGGAACTTTGAAAAATAAACAGTGCTCTATACAAGAGTTTTTTTCTACGGAAGCGTATGATGGGCCGGCCAAGCGGTTTTAATTTCTATTTTTTCTACTATCACGCCTTAGTAACTCGTAATTTCGACTTACTAAAAGACGTAATTAAGGGACAGAAGACATAATTATTCCCGTAATTACGAAATAGAAGACGTAATTAGTGAAACACGACTTACTAACTCGTAATTACTACTTACTAAGACGGAATTACGGAATAGTATATATATATATATATATATATAAACTAGGGAATATTGGGGACTGCAGCAAAGTCAAAAGAGTACTCTTTAAAGTTGGTCCAAGCTTTCGAAAATCTTTATTTTCATCATCAGGGAGTCTGTAAAGTGATTATTCATGAGTATCATGTAGTTGAAGTGATGAAATCTTTGTGTACTTACAACTTTGTTGAGGATGGCTGACATTATGTTCATGTATAATTTCTTTATGTGTCTTGGTAACATAACATGAATAAGCCCAAAAGTCATCGATAAAAATACATTACATTGAATAACACACGTTAAAACATTATAAAACTAAGTTAAAAGTCACATCTTCCACCACATGGTTGGAATTGTTAGCAGATAAGGTTATTGCAAATGGTGCCGGGAAACTCATTTTTATAATGTTTTAACGTGTGTTATTCAATGTAATGTATTTTTATCGATGACTTTTGGGCTTATTCATGTTATGTTACCAAGACACATAAAGAAATTATACATGAACATCATGTCAGCCATCCTCAACAAAGTTGTAAGTACACAAAGATTTCATCACTTTAACTACATGATACTCATGAATAATCACTTTACAGACTCCCTGATGATGAAAATAAAGATTTTCGAAAGCTTGGACCAACTTTAAAGAGTACTCTTTTGACTTTGCTGCAGTCCCCAATATTCCCTAGTTTATTCCTAACTAGTCAGCAACGACTACCCTTCTACATATATATATATATATATATATATATATATTAATACTCAAGAAGCTAGAAGCTAGTAAAGTCACTCACTAATCTCAATATGAGACCCATCACATATTTTTAGGATTATTTTATGCTGTCATCGCCCCATTCTCAATTTTTTTATTTTTTTCTATAAGAAGAATCTGTTGCTTTGCTAGCTTCGGCCGAACTCAGCAAAGCCATTTTAGAGAAACAACATTTTTTGGTGATTTGATATAGTGAAAATGTGACGCTTATTTTAAGCTACTTCATAACGCTATTCCCATATTTTTATTTATCTCCATTGTGGCTTTGCTAACTACAGGCGAACTTAGCCATTTTTGAAAACAGATTTTTCACCGTTTCGATATACTTATTGCGATTTCAAGACTAATGTTAGGCTAATTAATTACCCTATTCAAAATGATTGTGTTATTATATTATGCACAAAATATTAATTGATTTGTCAAATTTCACGATGCATTTATGAGGCATAGCGAAAGCTGGCGAAAGTATATTGATTATTGACTCAATAACTCATATTCAAGTAGACATTTTTTCATTCAATTTATATTGGGATAAAAAGGCCAATTTTAGGCTAATTACATAATATATCCTATTTTCAAAATTTTTGCTTTATGATTTTAGGAAAAAAAATTTATTGATTTGTCGTAATTCACGATATTTACTAGGTATCATGCATGTTTATTGAAAGCATATTTTTTGACGATTTTGTGAGGCAAAGCAACAGTACTGAATGTAGGCTCAATTATTGTCCCATTCTGAATTTTTTTGCTGCACATTCTTTAAAAAAAACCTGTGGCTTTGCCTTCGGCCGAACTCAGCTGGGCCAGTTTTGAAAAAAATATTCTTCACCGAACCGATATATTGAAATTTCACTTCGTACTAATAATTGGTCCCTGGCGTAATTATGGATCCGGCCTGCCTATGATATTTGCCCCAAGCTAGCAAAGCCATAGGTTCTCTTTGAAAAAGGCGCAACAAATGAATCCAAAATGGTACCTATAATCAGTATCATCGATTCGCGTCATAAAATCTTCCAAAAATATGCTGTTGATAGAAATGCATGATACCTAGTAAATATTGCGAATTTCGACAAATCGATTCGTTTTTCCTAAAATCTAAAATCGTAATGTAATAAAAAAAAAAAAATAGTAATAAGAACCGCTTGGCTCCTCTGCGCTTCCGTATTTTCCCAACCTTATCACTTAAAATATATACTGATGACGAGTGTTCAGCAACAAAATATCAAGGCCAAATTCTTGTTATGAATGTAAGAGATTAATATCAGAAAAATATCATTAACCCAATGAATATTATTTACCAAAATGAGAGTTTCTCAAATGGGAAAGTTGAGTACGGCTACATAATCCAAAGGGTACAGGGTGGTCAAGTTTATTTTAGCGAGACTTCCGACAATCGACAGAAGACTTTAGTTTAAGAAGAAAAGTTTATAAATATGGATCATTGTTTTCAATATATTTTCTCTTTGAATTGAATGCCCTGCATCATATGAACGAAATGTTATATGATCAATGTTGATTGGAAATAGGTGTTCCACAGATTATTGAAGTTCAACTAAAATAAACTGGGGCACCCTGTATATACTAGTTGAATGTTAGGTGAATAATTATTTAATATCCATTTCACCATGTCAACTACTTATCTCCATGTAAACTATTTATCTACATACTGATAAATATTATTCTTTATTCAGAAAAATTATTGTTCCAGATGTCAATAGTAGTTCTACTAGAACATATTCATCTTGAAAATTATCACAAGCTGATGCCCTACCACCTGTACTAATATAATAATTTAATAAGTATTCAAAGGTGTAATTCAGCCACTGCAAATTATCAAAAAAAAAAAAAGCTAAATGAACAGAACAGCTTTGAGGATTTGTGACAACTTCTTCAGTAAAATCTTGAATGATGATTTTGTAACTCCTTTATAGTGAGTATAATAGGGATGTAGAAGTTCAAGGTCCTACTATTAAGTTCTATAGCCACTATAGCCAGACATAGATGCAAGTTGCCTGCAATTTGGTAATTTGGTGATAAACTACTGTCCAATTCAAGTGGAAGAATTATTCACAGAAATTTTCACTGATTTTCAAGCAGTTTTGATCCTAGAAATTATGCAGTTCTCTTGATCATGTTGTTGAAAGGTATTTGAAGTAATTATTAAATACTTCTGTGACCAAATTCCTGTGAAAAGAGTTAGGTCCCCTTTAAAACAGGAGTTCCATATATTATGGTGAATTATACATCTTAGGGGGTACAATGACAGTAGGAATGAAAAAAAAAACAACAACTTATTTTCTCAGATAATAAGACACTGAACAGGAAATCAGTATCTCCCATTTCAATGCACACAGTTTTATGTAACCCAGGTCTGACATCTATTTATATCCAACTAGTTCCTCATTGTCTGTTTTCTCCAAAAATAAATTTTCCAAGGGTTCAACATATTTCTCTGACCCCTTTGACATTATTTTATAACTGAATTGATCAATATGTATTTCAGTTATATCAACTGTTGGTTCCTTGAAAGCATATGGCATGATATTGGAAAATACATAAATACCTTGTACTGAGAGGTAGGAACCAAGTTTTTGGATCATCTCCAAATACTTCTTGGAAATTTCTATAACGTCCTACATGAAACCCATATTTGTCAGTTCCAATATCTCTGAAGTTTGGTGGCCGGAATGCTTCTATAAGGAGCCAAATTATAATTATTTAAATACATGATTCAAATAATTATAACTCACCTAGAGTAGTTCTATTCTCACAAACTAAGTAACAGTGGTAACCAAACAGTGACAATAAGCTCACACCAAACATTATAGCAACAAAAAAGAGAAAGAGGATATGAAATCTTCCCATTCCTTGGAGATCACCCTAAAATTTGAAGAAAAGTAGGATCAAGAAAATTATTGGATAAATAGGTAGAATTCAAGTATCCAAACTGTTCCATCATTTTTATAAGAAAGATAGTGAATAGAATATTTGCAATTGACCATATTTCTCTTGGAAAAAGTTAGACACTTTGTGCTATTTGTTGGCAGCAGTTAATGTTGAATTGAATCATTTGTAGAATGCATTGTCTTTTGTGGATATCAATTATGATCAGTTTGAAGAAGGAAGGAAAGGTCCAAGAAATTCTTCTTGCTCTTATTTTCAATAAGTAACAATTCCAGTTTTTACTCTCATTGAACAATGATTTTGACAGAGCAACTGGTCTCATTCCCATTTGATATCTTATTTGTAGCCAACCTTACAATACAAAATGTCTAATAAGACCAAAAATAGCTGAAATAGTTGTTGAATAAATAAATTATGACAAAAAAACTTACCCTCCAGAATGAAATAAAATAGGGAAGTGATGTCAGTGATACATATGCACAGTATAAAAGTGCATATCCCAAGAATAACACAAAAAACTTGTAGTTGGTAAATGATACACAATTGTTGATCCATGGGCAGTGATGGTCCATTTTCAGAACACAAACACCACACACAGAACAATGATGAGCCCTATCAGGCTTTACAATCCTACATTTTTCACAAAATCTTACTCCACCACTCACTGTTATGTTAGTAATAGGTAAACGTCTAGCAAATGTTTCTAAAATGGTGTTTTGGGTTTCAAATGAATCATTATGGTTTAAGTAAGCCTCATAGTCAGCTTCTGGAATTTTATACTGAAAGGAATGTTGAAAATCAGATATTTAAGTACATCTAGTATATTATACTCACTTTAGTAGGCACTCTACCAATTTCAGTAAAAATAGTCTGCCAATATGACCAACAAAATGTAAAGAAAAATACATGATAAAATATCAAATATAGTACTTTTCTTGGAATATCTTCAACTGTCACTGAAATGCAAGAGATTAGCAAAATAGTATCAACAACAAAAAAATTGATGAATTACAAAGACATAGTTGAATAACATAAGCATAATATGACCATACAACTATAGTCACAATAAATAAAACTGGTATCCATTTAAGTGCTCTGAAACACCAATAACATGGACCTTTGTTGTCACTTCCTGGTAATGCCATGACAAATTTTACCAATCAGTCATTAGTTTAGTAAGCAAAATCATTTTAGGAAATCCATCTTCATTCAGAAACTGAAAGGGGCGAGGTGGTTCTAACCTAAAAATTTATATGAACGGATCTTTGAAACGATACACGTTTCTTATGTACTTACTCAATTAATTAATCTATTAGAGATGGAAGCATGAAATCAAATTATTTGAAATTAATCATTTTCCTCTAATAATTTCCACGCTAGTGACTTGATCTTGTTGACATTTTTCTCGCCTTGAAGCGAACTCGAAGTAGTCGCACTCCGTCTCACGTCTCACTTTCTCAGTCTTCTCACCTTCTCAGTTCTCACTCACTCACTCTCACAGTCCTCACAAAGTCACAAAGCAATGAAATTGTCACAAAGGTTCAAACTCATAGACTTTTCAAACTACTCTTCAGCTTCACTACTCACACCAACTCCTAAACCGCAAGAATCCGTTTTGCCCAAACATATGCATAGGCAATTCCTATAAACCAATCAGAACAATCCAAAGCCCGCGCCTGCGTGTTGACAAACGTCTATAGACACGATGCAACAAATACTCCATGTGTACGGACAACTTGCAATAACTGCTTGTGGTTCCCTCAATTCAGAAATTCTTTCCGCGACCTGCCAATCAATGCATCATATTTGATCTTTCTTCATACTATAATTTCCAAGTACCTCCGTGAAACAGTTGTAGTGTTTTCAAAATCCACGCCGGCGATCCGAGATCACTTCCTTTGACGGTCGGCTTTTTATTTAATTCTAATGCTGAAAATCTGTGTTCCGAAATAAAAAATCAGAAATACATTGCTGTAGTTCGGAACAAGTTTTGAGGGTTTTCATCAATAATCAGCAGCAGTTGATCAGCTGGTGAAATCCCCAGGGTCGATTATTACAATAACATGCATTTTCTGATATTAAATATCATATTATCAATTTATTATTGTTAGGACAATACTTGATGTTGAAAAACAACGGCAATGAATGTGACATTCCTTCTCCTCTAAAATAATGACAGTTCACTGAAGCCACACTACCTTTTGATAGTGAGCAATTACAGCAGAATGTTGAGTCGTAATATTTGGAATGAATAGTAACATAGCCATCTTTATAGAATGTATGCTCACAAATATCTGTCACAGAAAGTGAATTTTTTAGATTCAGTACTGTCAGTTGAATTCGGAATACATCCTTAGTCCTGTCCTGTCCATCGCCTTCAGTGTTGCCAAAATCAAAAATTGACAACTCACTTTTTGTCAGTTTTTGTTTTGTTGGTCGATTCCGTCAATGTCAAATCAGTCAAAAGTGGTGCATCTGCATTGTGGGCTCTTGTGGGTGTATGTTTATAAATTTACAGGATTATTGCATTAAAAAATGATAGAATAATAATGATAATAATAATATCAGGCGAAGTTCTTAGAAGGCTTACAATATGGTTTGATATGTAATCATTCTGGTATTTGTTAATAAATCGTCGTTTCCAATGGAAGAAGAAGCAGGCATACTTGTCATTACTCTTAAAAATATTCATCAATAATTGGGGACAATCCAAGTAACAAATTTATTGCTTATAGGTACACAGTATTTCATATCATTTTGGAGTAAGTACTCAATATTGTTCATTTATTGTTCCTCATGAAAACAAAGTTATCACATGTCTTGACTAAAAAAACCTATACTGGGTACACAGTGTTTTAATTGTTGATGAAATTTCTTCCAAAAACATTGGTTTCCAAGAATATGGTCATACCTATATATTTAAAATTTGAAACTCATATACTCTTGAAGAGTGTGACTTCATTTTATATGCAATATAGAACGCCCACATAATTAGATTATTTCATTGCTCATTGAATAATTTTCAGATCATGGAATTGTCACACAGTCTGACACTAAATGAAGAAGCTTTAGCTCAGTTGAGTGAAGCAAAAAAACCAGTATTCATATTTGAATGGCTCAGATTTTTGGACAAAGTTTTGGTTGCTGCCCAAAAGGTAAGAATCACTTTTTGATGATGAATGGGCCTGTACTTATATTATCATTGTAGAATGACATAAAAGGGTGTCAGAAGCAATTAGTGCAACAACTAATGAACCGTATTCAGGAATCTCCTGGCCCACCAACTAGAAAACTAATAGCAAGGTGTCTGGCAACTTTATTCTCTGTTGGAGATACTTTCCTGCTTTTTGATACTGTGAATAAATGCAATGACATTTTGAGAAATAAAGATGACTCACCAAGCTTCCTACCTACAAGACTGTAAGTGAACAACCAATTTTTTTCTCTATATTTGCAAAATCATATTCTGAACCCAACTCATCCTCAGAGCTGCTATTTGCTGTGTTGGCACCATGTACAAAAAGTTAGGCAGAATGATGGGGAGATCCTATGAAGAAACAGTCCATATCTTGATTCGTTCACTGAGGAATGCTGAATCCCAAACAAGAATTGAAATAATGCTAACCCTAGAAAAAGTGTGTGCAGGAATGGGTACTGCCATAAACAATGTTCACAAAGACATATACAAAGCTGCTAGACATTGTTTGATTGACAGAGTGATGGCAGTGAGATGTGCTGCAACAAGATGTCTACTAGAAATGCTCAATCACACAATGTTTTTTTATACAACAGAATTGGAAAGTCTGGCTTCCCTATGTTTCAGAGCTTTTGATGGTTCCAACTATGTTGTTCGTTGTACTGTTGCCAAACTTCTGGGTGCCTTGATTGCTATGACACAACAACAACAAAATATCTCTGGAAAAGTTTGTAAGTTGATTATGAGATTATTGAATCAAGGTTGAATCAGGTCAAAATTCATTATTCACAGCCCAACAGCAACAACAGCAGAAAGGTCCTAAACTAGTATCTCTGGATGAGGCATTAGGAGTATTCATGTCTGGATTTCTTCGAGGTGGTGTTGGATTCTTGAAAGGAACTGGAGAAATTATAAAAGGAAGTTCTGGAGTAAATAGAGAAGTGAGAGTTGGGGTGACACATGTAAGAAAAAAATTCCACATCATCCAGCTCACTGAGTGTACTTATTCTTCAATATTTCAGGGTTATGTCATCTTTGTTCAGATACTGGGTAGTAAATGGCTTGAAAAGAATATGAAAGCTTTCCTCACACATATTCTCTACCTTGCTGCAAATCCTAAAGCAGCTTCAAGCCATGTTGATGCTGTTTATTCCAGAAAATGTATAAATTTTATTTTGAGGAGTGTTCTTGGAAAAATGTTGGGTGAGAAAGCACAAGCCTCAGCTTGCAAAGAAATAGCCCAAATCATTGTGAAGGAGATGAATTCTATTGATTTCAATCCAGAAAATGCTAAAGATGCTAATCAAGAAACACTTTTCAGCCAACATTTACTAGTATGTGCACTTCAAGAAATTGGGACACTTGTTTCAAGTTTGGGAACAACTGCACATGATTTGATAACAGATCAGTCATTAAGTAAGCACATAAACAACTTGATTTATTAAAAGATAATGGGAAATGATTTATATTTCTGCATAAGACCCTTGATTATTTACACTAATCAATGATAAGACCTAATTGATTGACTAAAATTATTTTGAATAATATACAGAGTGGTCCAAATTTCTGATGTTGTACATTAAATTTGAGAGGTGAGGGTGAGGTGAGAGAATCACACAATAATGGAACTTTTCTTTATAATCATGCCCCAAAATATGCACGATAACTCAAATACAGGGGATTGACATGTGATATGAAGAAACTTCATCATTTACCAGATCATTTCATATCCAAGGAAAATCTTGGTGCATCATAATGATATTAAACTGGGATCATATCTTGAGTTTACATAATTTTTCTCAGGCCAAAGCCAAAAAAAAACTGGTGACAATTATTAATAATCATAATAATACCACTCAATCTGTAAACAGTTCAGATTTTTCTTTTTCATCCCAAGAAATCATAAAAATCATCACCTTCAGATGAAAATTCAAAAAGAAAATTTTAGGTAATTATTAATTATAAGTGTTAAGAGGGTGGAAGGTCAATTAGAACAATCAATTCTTTGAGGTTAATAAATATACAAGCGAGAGATTTTTCAAGATTTCTAGAAATATGCTTCATGAGTCATTACACAATCTCTTGGTTAGTGGTAAAACAGTGTAGGGATTTATAGTTTTTGATAAATTAGGACAAGTTAGCATTAAAAATACATGCTCATATTATTTCCCAGATATGATAGATGTCACCATGAGTGTTTTGATCCACCCATGCCAAGCTGCTAGACTGGCTGCAGCTTGGTGCCTTAGATGTATTTGCGTTGCTGTCCCTAGCCAGATCTCCCCTCTTATAGACCGTTGTGTCAGTGGAATAGAACAGTTTCGAACCTCCCCAGAAGCCATATCAGGTTACAGCTCTGCTCTGGCAGCTGTCTTAGGAGGTGTTAAACTTTCACCTCTAGGAGTGCCTCACATGAAAGGGAAAATAATCTTCAATACTGCCGAGGAATTGCTGAGAAGCGCTAGCCAGAATAGTAGATTGTCCCTGAATAGGACTCAAGCAGGGTGGTTGCTTATTGGAGCCATCATGACTTTGGGTATACCTGTAGTGAAAGGGCTTTTACCAAGGATGCTGTTGCTCTGGAGGAACTCTTTTCCTAGGTCAGCTAAAGAATTGGATTCAGAGAAGGCACGAGGAGATGTGTTCACATGGCAAGTCACGCTGGAGGGCAGAGCTGGAGCTCTATCGGCAATGCATAGTTTTCTTCAGAATTGTTCTGAACTTGTTAATGAAGATACCACAAGAAGATTGCTCACTCCAATTGAATCTGCTCTTGCTATGCTAACCAAGTAAGGAAATTGTTTAGATAAGTTCCCCATATGTTGCATACTGTATCTGGGTTATAGTATCTACATTTTCAATGGGTTTTTACGAAAGTTATTGAAGCTAGTTGACCAGCACAAAAGTAGAACAGATATAAGTGATGGACAAAGTTTTCAAATGGGCCACTGTTCCAACATCTCAGTCCTCACCATTGTTTCCATACTGACTGAACATGCTAAGGAAGACACCCCTTTTAGCTATGGTAGTGGGGCAAATCCAGTTGATCACTTGATTATCTATCATGAATATCTGTTTTATTTTGTGCTGGTTGGGTGGCCTCTTAAACCTTTATGCTGGTTATCTGATTCCCAACCATATTTTGATTGATTCATTTCAGTATATCTGGAATATTGAAAACTTATGGACAACATTTGAAAGCACCGGCTGCAATGGTTAGACTTCGTCTCTGTGAAACACTTCTGCTTCTACATCCTCAATGTTATGAAAGTAAGCATTTCTTCCATTCATTTTCTCCCTGTCCATACTAAATTTAGTATTTCAACAGATTCATACACACACTTATTGAGGATGTTGGTTGCGGAATTCACATTAACAGAAAATCCAGCCAATACAACTACATCTCAGCTCCGATCAGTTTGTCATGCTGATGATTCTGTTATCTTAGGTACTTGGTTGCAGGAGACAGATCACCGGACAATTGAAGATCAGGTTAGTTAGACTGATATTTACCGTGGCCCAAAAATTTTTCGCCCGACAATTCTGTATTTATTATTACATACATCTCAAAACTAAGGTGAGTATTTATACTGTATTGTCAACATAAATTATTAGAGAAAGGCTCGTTTCATCAAAATGTGAGCAAATTTGTTTCATAAGAAGAAGAAGATAGGATTATTTGACTGATAGATAGAGGAAAGAGGACAGATGCTCAGATGGCCTTATGTCTGAGTTCCAAATAAATTTGATACTTATTTCAATGCAAGCAGAAGGTGTTCCAGAAATACTAATATTCATCATACCTTTTTGAAAGTGGTTCCCTCTTCACTTTTGAAATGATGTTGTATAAAAAGTACTTTTGTTTTAGGGAAATATCATGAGATAATTTTGGACCACAGTTGCTCTATAATATTTGTGAAATAATGTGTGGTTGATATTTTTGGATCTGTTCATCAATTTCTGCCGACGAATAGAAATTCTATATAATTTTTTTCAAGAGCATTTTTATATTCTCAGCAGCAATATTGCAATATCAATAGCTAGAGAAGTAGGTATATTGGTTTTCTGTTGCTTCTCATGATTTGAAAATGTTCTCCCATCAAAAATATCATGGATATGATTTGGTTTCCTTGTATTTAGGGTGTGCATCTCATACGACGGGAGGTCCCATTTTGATGTGTATAAAACTATTTACTCATTACAAATGAACACTGTTAAAATTACTTGGCGTCCGTATTTTTTCAATTTATAACAGTATTTTATGACATAATTTATAATCGCTGTGTGAGCGAATTTTATATTTATCGTTTTTGGGCTTTCTGGAGTGCACCATCAACATCTCCTGGGGAAAGGGTGTGCCCCTCAGCCTCCCCCGTAATATTTAATGTAGTGTTTCATGTGGATGATAACTTCGTATGAGGTGGCCCACCATTTGGCTTATAAGATTATTAAGCATTATCAATTATTGGTGCTACATCATGTTGATGCATGGCGACATATTTTTTCTTTGACTATTAGCATTTCTCGTTGGATGGGTAGTGTAGGCTAATATGTCATTGACACAGTCCATTGCAATGGTATTTCATTGTGTACCTGTTTTTCGTCTCAAGTTTTGCTTGAATAGCCGCTTGTTACTCTGATTTTTTTCAAACAGTGCATGTTGTTCCTTCTACGAATAAACCCGGTAGCCAATAGTGGGTAGGTTCGTTTTTTTTCTAGTTCGTATTTACATAACACTTAATTGCATTCTATTGCAATAGTTAGTCATCTTCATAGTTAATTACCCACAATTTAACTTACACTCTTTTTCTCAGATGGAACCCAATCGAAGGGCTGATGGTGAACATGTGAGTAGTTTGAATGTGAAGATCGGTTTTTGTTTGTGTGAAGATTTTTTGGTTATTTTCTTTATTGGTTCTCCAGTTCCTAATTCTCATAGAGTGATGAATATGATCACCTATACTACTCATCTTACTAAGGTTGAATAATATATTTGCGAAGCAAACTTCCCGGTGCTTCCTATACGATTTGGTGTTCAATATTAATGTACTGATAAGTGAAAAAAAAAATGATAACCAGTTCATTGACGAATTAGTGATTATGAATTCTTCCAATTTTTAGCTTCAACCAAACAGTGCCGCTGGTTCTGGGGCATTGGAACATGATCAATGTTGCCTCTACAGACAAGTGAATCAAGTAAGTAGATAACTATTCAGAATTACTCGAGCATTCACGGTGATCTCTCACACAGGGCGAGACTATACCAGGACCTTTACCACTAGGAGTAACAGTGATCGACATATCAGTTCTACTGTTCGGTCAAATCTTTCCCAGGGTAACCAACAAACACCGTGTTCAAATGCTCGATCATTTTGCAGAGTGCATAAAGCATGTGCGCAGTACCAGGCAAGAAGCGGTTCAAATGAATGTATTTACTGCCTTGCTGAGTGGTTTGAAGGGCCTAACTGAAACTAAAGTTAATATCAATCAGGAAGACATCAAAAAGTCTGCTGTGAACTTGATTATAGGAGCACTGACTTCACCTAATCCCATTCTTCGATATGCTGCAGGTGAAGCTGTGGGTCGTATGGCACAAGTAGTTTCTGACCCTAAATTCACAGCTGAACTTGCTCAAACAAGTTTTGATAGACTGAAGTCAGCTAGAGATGTAGCTAGCAGAACTGGCCATTCTTTGGCTCTGGGATGCTTGCATAAGTATGTGGGCGGTATGGGATCTAGCCAGCACTTGACCACAAGTGTTTCAATTCTACTTGCACTAGCACAAGATCAAACATCTCCAATAGTTCAAGTTTTGTCGCTACATGCACTAGCGTTGATCGTAGATTCTGGTGGCCCAATGTTCAGAGGCTATGTTGAACCAAGTCTCTCTGTCATACTCAAACTTCTGCTGAATGTCCCGCAGTCTTACATTGATGTTCATCAATGTATTGGGAAAGTACTCTCGGCACTTATAACAGTTATTGGACCAGAACTTCAAGGCAATACAGCTAGTATATGTACTGCTAGGTCTTCCTTTTTGTGCGCCTGTGCCATTATGCAGGACCATCATGATCCATTGGTTCAGGCTGAAGCTACAGGATGTCTGCAACAATTGCATTTGTTTGCACCAAAACATGTCAATTTATCATCACTGGTACCAACATTATGTGTGAGTACAGTATATTGTTATAATAGATTTCCTTTGATTTATATTTGTATATTCCAGAGAACACTATCTAGTAATCATTTATTACTGAGGAGAGCTGCCATATCATGTTTGAGACAACTGGTACAAAGAGAAGCAAAAGAAGTTTGTGAGCATGCTATGAATTTGGCCAGTGAAAGTCGTGAACAGAACAATGTGGAAGGTCTGACCATAACAGAAACTGGTCTACCAGGGGTATTTTTCAGCATGCTAGACACCGAGACTGATACAGGCTTGATAAAAGACATTCATGACACGATAATCAGTATGTTACAAGTTCTTTCTGCTGATAACTTGGCACAGTGGTTGGGATTGTGCAAAGGTGTTCTAACTGTGGCCACTGGTAAATATATAGCTTTACTTTCATCAGTCCCAATTGAAACCATCTATTTTTCTAGAAAACAGTTCTGAAGATCGTACTAGTTCAGCAACAAATGACGTGGAAGGAGATGATGGAGAAGTAGATGATGACCAAGAAGAATTTCACGCAGAAGATGATGCTTCTCACCCAGCTGTTCAACCTAGGTGGCCAACCAGAGTATTTGCTGCTGAATGTGTTAGAAAAATTATAGCAGCATGTGAAGCTAGCAACAAAACGGCTCACTTCGATTTAGTAGAAGCAAAGGAGCAACAAATAACAAGAGGCAAAAGTGACTTCTTGACCTTGCATCTATCAGATTTGATTAGAATGGCGTTCATAGCAGCTACTAGTGACTCAGATCCTTTGAGACTAGAGGGTTTGAAAACCTTACAGGAGATCATCGAAAAATTTGCCAAAGTTCCTGAACCCGAATTTCCTGGACACCTGCTCCTTGAGCAATTCCAAGCTCAGGTAGGTGCAGCTTTACGACCGGCATTTTCTCCCGATACTTCCTCACTGGTTACAGCAGCAGCTTGTGAAGTCTGTTCAACTTGGATTGGGTCTAATGTTGCCAGAGACCTCCATGATTTGAAAAGAGTACATCAATTACTAGTATCGTCTTTGACAAAACTCAGAACGAAGACTAATGTTAATCAGCTGTATAATGAGAGTTTGGTGACCCTTGAGAAACTATCCATATTGAGAGCTTGGGCAGAGGTGTTCATTGTTGCTATGAAGGGTCATGAATCTGCAGTTAATTTGTCTTTCACAACAACAACAACAACAACAACTGCTACTAATGACAATGAATTCACAGACTTCGAATACCGAGGAGAAAGCTTACTAACTCTAGTGCAGCCAGAACTATCAAGCCTCTCACAGTATTGGTTACTAGCATTGAAAGATCATGCTCTACTATCACTTCCAAGTGAATTCTCCAGTCAGTTACCACATGATGGCGGTGCCTTTTATACGAATGAAACCATGGACTCTTCAAGACCCCATTATGTTTCATGTTGGCCGCCAATTTTGCATGCTGCTGCATTATTGTTGAATACAGGGAATTTCAAAAGAGACAGTGATAATGATAATGATGAAAACCCGAACAACAACAGATCAAATGAAGACCCATCTGATAGGTTCCATTTACTTTTCGGTATTTGCATGGAAGCTCTGTGCAGTCCGCGTTCCACGGAACCTTTGGAAAGCACTGTTACCTGTCTTCAGGCATTGTATACTTTGCTGGAGACTAAATATGCGAGGAAATTGTTGATGTCTGACAGATCATTAGGTATTGAAATGTGCAATGTTCTACATCGCTTGATTCTCACTAGAGATAGCCACAATTGCCAGTTATTGTGTTTAGAAGCCTTGAAGCAAATAGTAAAAGCCGCGCAAGAATATCTCGATGAGACTAAGAAGGATAAATTGAATGAAGGAGAAAGTGTGACTGAAGTTGATAAACTAGGAGAAGGAGGTGAACTTGGACAAATAATTCCTGGAAATTCTCTGGTTATTTCTTGCCTAGAAGTGTGCCTTTGTCTCATCATCCGTCAGCTACCATCATTGAGTCCTGTGCCAAATACAACAATAGTCAATTCCTTCAGAGTCATGCAGTCTGGAGAACAATCAGGTCAATTACTAGCATCATCTATAAGTTGCATGGAAAATCTTCATAAACTCTGTTCTCCAAAAGGTGCTCTCTCAATCTTGCCAACAATATTGTATCTAACCACAGGCGTCATTAGAGAAGTCTCCACCAAGAGTGTGAATGATGTCAATGTCATGGCCAACAGTGCTTCTGTTCAATCAGCTTTGCATTGCTTGAAACTTATAGCAACTGATCCATACTGCAGTCATCCCGAGAGCTGTGATATGTGGCAGAAGTTGCTACAAAGCTCACTTGCAAAAATAATTGATCTCACCAAAACTAGAAATGATGACACAAAACTTGATGAGGTGACAATGATGCTGGCTATAGCAGTGTTCGTTTTGAACGCGCCATGTAAAGTTGTTACAGTACCCAATCTTCAGTATCCCTGTATCAACCATTTTAGACAATGTTTCGAAGACCCGAATTCAGTGGTAAGTAAAACAGAAACTTCCAAACACCCTAATCGACTACAATGCTCTCGATTTCAGGTTCGTTTGAAATGTGTGCGTACATTGAAGTCATTATTTGGCCACCACGATCGTGCCATTTCCACACCTTACATTCATACGTTGGCTCCTCAACTTGTTGAATTTTTGTATTCAGATACAGCAAAGAAACCATACTCTGATGGAGAACTGTTGGTTACTATTGAAACCATCACTGCTATAGAATCCCTTATTGAACTAGCTGAACCAGATACACGTGAGTATATTCAGATTTCGAGTGGTCTTTTTAATCTATGTGTCAGATGTGCAGTTTCCTCATTTATTTTATTTTTGTATTACCTGCTTACAGGAAATTTAGTTCAAGGTATGTAGCAAATACATATAACTGTTACATACACATACATCCAATATACAGTGTGATTTCGAAATATTAGCACATATAAACACAGTAATTCCACACCATAAGGAACATCTTCATGTGAACCTTTTTTGCTTTTATTCAAAATTGGAGAAATTGTGTCATAACTTCAAGAAACCTTCTGATCCCGGTTATATCAGACATATTATGTTTTCTTTTATCTCTTGGAGCGCACGAAAGGAAATTCCTATGGTGTTCAAAGAACATCGTGCGTACCTAGGGAGGATAGGGAGAGGAGGTAGGTTTTGTTTTTTTCAACTTATGGAGGTTATGAGTTCTTGAGACTACTTCCATTGGCAAAGAATTTCAAAGCTTTACCGTTCTATGGACGATCGAGTTTTGGTAAAGTGTTGTTTGACATATTTCAAGGTTGACAACGAAAGGATGTGCTGAGTGGGCCTGTCGAGTTGGTCTGACTGGTATTGCTAGTGATGGAATGATGGCAGAGATTTCTGAGGAACATTTCCCGTGGAAGTTTCTATAGAATAGTGAGAGGTCGCCGACTTTTCTACGGTTTTCTGATGAATTCAAAGTATTAGTGAGTGTGGTCCCACCAGGCAAATGGCTCTTCTCTGGATGGAATCTAAGAGCATCAACGTATGTTTGGGTGCTGACTCCCATATGTGAGAACAGTTTTCCAAATCTGGCCGTATCTGTGCTTTACAGATCATGGGAAGCTGTTGGGGTGTAGAGTAGATTTACGAAGGGGATAAAAATTCGAGTTTTGTGAAGCAGCTTTCGCGATGGATCGGACATGATTTTTCCATGAAGTAGTATTGCTGAGTGAAATATCCAGCATCCATATATTGAATGATGGCGAAAGCTTCGGCTCGTCGCCCAGCTTGATCCGTTCTGTTGGAGGGTACGAGCTAAGCGGTGTTGTGTACATTAAAATCGCCCATGATGATGATTTCTGCTGCTGGGCTCTGCTGAACAAGGTCAAGCTTCAGGGACAAGAACTCGAAGAGCTGTCCATAGGATGGACCATTTGGTGGTCAGTAGAGACAACAAAAATATTTGGCCAGTTTATGGCTATTGCGAGTTTGAACTACATAACATCGAACTTATTTGGTTCCAAATGACATGAGAGATTCGTTTTGGAATAGAGGCAGAGACCTCCCTTGAAACTGAAGCCTGTGTGGAGTTCGTACCCGGGACAGAGCATATAGGTCGTATTGGTGGATGAATTGACCTGTGTACTGTGTATCAGTCAGGGCCAATATGTCTGGCTTTTCAGTTTGACGGTGTCGATGGACATACTTAGACCACGGATGTTACATAGGTATATCTTGAGGCTTTTATTAGCCGGTGGTGAACCCCCTCTAGCACCTCTCTCCAGGAAATCCAAATGTAGAGGTATACCGGATAATTTTATTTGAGAACTCATCAGGAAAAGAAAATTAGATTGGATAGTCAGGACTTACCGTGGGGTTATTCTAATCCTAATCCAACCGCCACGAGGATTAGTTTTGTGGGATATGTGAATTTAACTATTGAATGTTGTCAAATCCTTTATGATATCAATGAACCTGTCTTTTACTTTAGGTATTCAGATGCTGACATTACTGGTCCCTGTTTTAATTAGTTACCTATCTGAGCCGAATACTCGTAATACCACTAAATATGCCCAGTCATTGCATGATGTAAGCCTACAGTGGCTTATGAAGATTGGCCCCAAATATCCGCAGGTCAGTTTTGTAAAAAAATTCGCAGGTAGTAATGTTTCCTGATATGTTTTGCTTCACAGGAATTCAAAAGGCTGATGATGCAATCCGAAGGTCTGCGTGTGAAACTAGAGAATGCCATTCGTATTAACCAAACTAGTCAGTGCAAAATCAAAAATGAAGTGAATATAAATCAGCAGTTACCTAGTCATACCCCAACTATCAAACTGAAGACCGATTTCAGCAATTTCTCCTAATTAGTCACTGATTAGTGTCATTGTATAGACTAGAAAATAATATAGACTTGGATGTGAGGTAGGTGATATCCTTTTCAAATTTTTCATTTGAATTTTTTATTTCTTCCGACTGATATTATGAATATTGTTTTGCCATTTTATAGGTCTATAAAATATTTATGAATGTTCTGAGGCCTACCGTTCTTAATGATAGACAATGTCGAGAACATGTAGAAAAAAATGTTAAAATCTTGTATCAAAGTATCAACAGCAGGTGAAATATGGCACATTTTTCCGCTCTCAATATATACATGAATCTTCAGAATTTACTTAAAGCATGCTATATATAGTTGAATGAATACATAAAAAATCATTGACAAAAGAAGGCATTCCAGTAAAGTAGGTAAACTTTCAACTAATAGTGGAATAGTATGAAAAGAATTTTTAGCCATTTAATAAAAAGAATAGGGAGCAAATAATATGTCATATTTTGTACCTTAGGTTCTGTGATAGTACTTGTAATAGGGAAGATTCTTCCAATCTTTTGGTTGGTTTCGAGTTTTTTACTAGACATTTTCATTTTAAATAATTGAAAATAATCTCTTCCAAAAACATCCCATTTCATCAGTAGTATCAAAGATCATGTATACAGCTATTATTTTCGTTTTTACTCAGTTGAATTATTTATTATCCCATAAGGTATGATACAAAAATCTGATTTGTAATTGTAAATCATTTCTCGCAATAAATGTTGTAAATAGTTTCCTTATTTAAATATGTTATAACTGTTTTCTAAATTATTTAATGATTGTAATTTATTTCTGAGATTGCGTTTTTACCTAATAAAAAATTATACATGTTTATTGTTCATTCATTAATTATGGCACCCAATAGTATTGAAATAAAACAGGAATATCAACATTTCTGATATCTGATACATTTATTACTATATTAAAATACGCTGCCAATGAAAATATGGATCATAGATGAAAACCCAAAGTCATCTCCACAATCAAAGATCAATTGTAACGGGACATGTTTCGGGCTTATATAAGCCCATCATCAGCCAATAGAAAGTATCATAGTTATGGAAATGAAAAAAGTAGATATACATAATATACAGTGTGACCCACTTCTAATGGAAACACCCCTGTATCTTACGTAATCGTTGGGCAAGGACCCTGAAATTTGCTGGAGTGCGAGATATACTAAAAATGCACTTTATGACCAAGTGAGGTCATCTTCAGTGGTATACACTGCTCGCCAACAGCCATGGAACCACCCACATTTCCGGAAAATGATATTAGGAGTCAAAACAGGTTGAAAATCACTTCGGATTCGGAATCAGGACGCCCAATTCACTAACTTTTCATAGTTTTCCTAGATAAGTTTCAGTTCAGAAAAAAATTATTTTGTCTCACTTCTCATGGAAGCACCCCCATATCTCACGTAATTTTTGAGGTAGGGTTCTGAAATTTGCAGGAGAAAGGAAAAGTCCAAAGATAAAGTCAATTACGTAAGATACGGGGGTGCTTCCGTAAAAAGTGCGACAAAATTCAATTTTAAAGAACTGAAAATTTTCATGAAAAAATATGAATAATTAGTGAATTGGGCGTCCTGATTCCGAATCGGAAGTGTTTTTCGACCTATTTTGACTCCTAACATCATTTTCTGGAAATTGGAGTGGTTCCATGGCTGTTGGCGGGCAGTGTATATCACTGAAGATGACCCCACTTGGTCATAGAGTGCATTTTTGATATATCTCTCGCTCCAGCAAATTTCAGGATCCAACGATTACGTAAGATAACAACGCAAACAGGGAAATATGCTCCAAGATTGTCTCTGTCAAATTATGTAAATTTATTGAACAACTTATTGAAAACAGTTAAGGGTCGGGTACATATTTTACAAGGGCCCACGTGCCCTTGAATTACCGAAAGGTGATAATTAAACGTTGAAAAATCAAACTAAAAAGTTTGATGAGGCATCAAGATTAACCTGATAAAGTGAAATAATCACATGCACGAGAAAATATGGATCATGAGTTCATGAGAATCAAGTGAGAGTGCAGATTTTGATTGAAAACTTTGACGCACAAAAGAACAAAAGTAAAGACTTGACTGCAGAAATTTTACATCTATATGGTCTCTAGTCCCTAGAGTTGAAGTCACAATCCACTAGGTGGAGCTAGGAATTGATGTAATGTCTCGTCCCATGTAAACACAAGATCTATAAATTTCACCGAGCAGTTCCATCTCTTAACGTCAGAGGTCGCACCCGGTATAATTTCCACATTCTACTATAGAGCTATGAGTTTGTGTATGAACCCTAATGTATAGAGATACGAATAAGTTTTTCCCTTGTTCAGTAAGCGTTATAGGGCGTTATCCACATTTCAGAACAAGATAGATGTTTAGTTTGATTACCATGATTCGGTATTCTGTTGGCAGAAAAGCAGTTTTGTCCTCCTCAGAGTCCTCGGATAATAAAGATATGATAAAGATTTTTCACTTCCATATCAAGTATTGGCACCGCTACCAGTTGTTCGATAGCCTTATATCGAAACACCAAATTGTTAGAATACTGTCGAAACTTTGAAGGATCCCTATAACCAAACATAAAATCATTCTTCAAATCACTGAATCATCACATAATCAAGGAGTAACATAATAATATGAAATGTGGAAATCTACGATGGAATAAAATACGCTTTTCTACTCACATAACTAAAATGGCATTTAGCGTATATGTACCACGCTAAATGATCGATTAATCACGGATTGACGATCTGTGACTTATTCAAAATATTAAACACGTTACCATGACAACACGATTTCCTAAACACATTACCATGGCAACACAGTTCATTAAACACAGCTTCAGTAATTTGAGACATGTCTGATGGCCTGTCAATGGGCTTATATCACAAAAAAAAATTATTTCATAATTCGATAGAACTCACCCAAACTAGCTCACCACCGCAAACCGTTTCTTCTCCCTACGTTTTATAAAAAATTATTGAAATCCCCTATTTTTCGGACCTCTGAAAACGAGGCGATGATGTGACGTCACAACCCTAATACTGAAACAAGACTATGCCAGACATAGATGAATGATACAGATACATGATTTCTGACAGAGTGAATTAGCGCGAGATAACAGTTGAAAGGATTAATATATCAGTTGCCTCAGTCTCCGTCGGGCGTTTGGTATTTTCTTTTAACTATGGCGAGATGAGGTTTCTACGTCATGAGAGGGTCCGTTTTCAGAAGGTACTATTATTTATGTCCAAAAATGAAACATTCCAGTTAATTTTTCGATCGAATTATGTCGTCAATCATTATTTATGTATGAAAGGATCATTATAAACATGGTTTGAGTCAAAAGTTCTACTAAGGTGTACACGCCCATTGTATTAACTGTCAATTGTTATTTTCAAATTTTGTATCAGAATTATTCAAACAATATTCGTTTGTATCAGAATTCTTCATTGAAAATATATGCGAAATGTAGACGAAAGTGAAATCGAAGAGAATGTTCTGGTACTTGCATATCTCCAAGAAGTGTAAAAATGAAGCATCCATATTTGAGAACAATTTATTCATTCTGCGCTAAGCATAACAATAAACGTGAAACAAAGGTTAGTATCAATAGATTGGACACATCTACAACCAATATCACTTATACGTGTCTCGCTGGTTGCATGCAGTTGCATGTATTATGTTCTCAATACCCATTCCTTTCGAATTATTTTGTAGGTTAGCAGGAATAGCAGCTATGTTAATGTAATTTTCGGAGTTCGTAGAAAAAGCATAGTATGTAACGCGTTTTTAAACTCTTCTAGACACTCGTTTATTAAACACTCGCTCCGCTCGTGCTTAAAATTCTCGTTACTAAAAGGACGTTCATAACACTTGTTACATAATATACTATTTTCCATTTTAGAAATATATTCTAAAAACCCTCGGACAGTTCGCTTTTTATTTTTGAAAATCTACTTCTTTCTGTCAACCCCTTCAAAATTTCCAAATTGTACAAAGGGTCAAGTATCAACAACCTTAATTGTTTAATTTTAATTAGTGAATTTACCTACATTCAAAATCATTCTGACTGACTGCCTATACGTTGTTATTATTATGTACAATGAAACAGTACCTACTATTACCAATAATTTGGACAAACATTCGAATAAATTTCAAATCTTACGACTACGAATTGAAAAGAAAGTAGTATAGAGATTTAAAATATCTCTCTAATGAGGTGTGAATTGACCCCAATGTACAATTTGGTTGCTTGAAAAATTGTACGCAAAAAATAGAAATCGACCTGTCTAAAGACTTGTCAAAATATATTTCTGTTACATGGAGATACGGATTCTATTCCTTCATAGGTTTCCACACTGTATAAGCTAAAAAGTGGAACAATCAACATCGAAAAATAATACATCAGGGTATATACCTCTCTGTGCCGGCCCTGGAGAAATGTGCTCGAATCTCTATTGAGCGCCCAAACAACCCAACCCAGAGCCTGTCTGTATTTTCCAGGAAGCAGAATTATTAATAGCAATTAAAATTATCTGTTCCGAAATGGGATCAAAGGACATATTTTTTGCTAAAACAACTAAAAGCAAATGGATCGAGCCAGAGAACAAAAGACATATTTCGAAAACAAAGTCAATGAAGGTGTCTACTTTGTGTCGAAAGTAGCTATATCAACACCCCTTGAAGTGATACATAATTTTATAATAGAATTTATATACGTTATGTGTCGACGGGAACATAAAAGGACTCTGTAATTCAATAATCAGCCAACTAAAAAGCTTACAAACTCAATTTTACTAATAATTTTGGTCCTATATTTCACATCAGCTAGGTGTTATGCTTTGTATTCAATTTCGAGTTTTTAATTTATTTTACAGGCGCAGTATGAACATGAAAGGATGTGCTGAATATTCATGTTACGCGTACATGTAAAAAGCGATGGGACAAAATAAAAACAGGTGCTTTCTTCAACTTTACATTTTCATTGCGATGATAGAGGAGAATGCATTAAAGAGTTGCTACATTCCTATACATTCGGTCTCCATATCCATATATTATATTATCATCATTTGCTTCCACTATTTTCATCCTTTCACAGAAACTAGTTACTAGAAAAATGTACCTACCTACCTCTATACTTACATATAGTACTTCCTTTGTTCTAAACAACATATTAATGGAAAAATGTCCGCCTGATGAATTTTCATCAAATCAGTTATACACTGATTTGCTTTATATTTTTGCAATCTACAATGCCCTATTGAAACGATTCTTATTTCTTTTTTCGAACCAGAGCAATTAAAAAATGTTCATATGACACACAATGATGCAATCGATGAATCGATGATGAATCTAATAATGACTATGATTGAAGTAAGTTTTGCTATTCGTAATTGAGTACCCTAACAAGCCCGGACTAAAATCGGAAAGGAAAATATAAGAAGAATATGCATAACATTTTCTGGGTCACACAGATAAATAATTAATTTATTCCCATATATAATAGAACATGAATATAATCAATAAATAAGCAGATAAAAACGTGGCTATCAGCAATAAAGTTTTTTGTGTAAGCTGGTTTCAAGTAAAAATGTGGTCACGGTGCCAAATTTCATTTGCTGAGGTCTTGGATCTTGGAAAAAATTAAAATGATCACACATATATATTATATGTTAGAATTTTAGTTTTATTTTTTCAATTCAAGATTCTAATTTGAGTGTATAGAAATCATTCTGGATATTATTTTATCAGGCATGAACTATAGTTAATACCAACTAATCATTTCGTCGATAATTTGGTTCGTACTTTTCGACTAATC